TTATCAAGAGATAAGATGATGTTGGAGTGTGCTAAAGGTATCATATTAAATGCAAAAGAACAACATATACCAATTATTGTCGATGCGGTATGCATCAGCATGCATGATTTACTTTTTGAATGGGTTTAGATGGATTCCAAGTTTCTATTAACAATATTTTGTATTAATCTGGTTTTATAAGGATGGATTGTTTCTTATTCAAAATTATCCTGATATTGTCAAAAATTATTCTGAGGCAATTTTGACACCAAATGTGAATGAATTCAAGCGTCTTTGTGAGACAATGGTAAAAAGAACAAAAGCATGTTTATATTATGGTGATAACTATAATTTCATATGTTGATGTTGCTTTTAGGGGATAGAATTTGAAGATGACCATAAAGAAGAATTGGCTCAAAAATTAAGTCGGGCTTTTGGTGGAGTAACCATTGTTCAAAAGGGTAAAAATGACATAATTTCTAATGGAAATTCAGGTAGGTAATAGTGTGATTAAATACTTATTAAATACTGATCAAATGAACGAAATGCATTAATTTTTTAAAAAAAATTTTTTGGCTTAACATTAGTCTTTTTGGTCGATAATAAGGGTGGTATTAAGCGTTGCGGTGGACAAGGTGATATTCTCACTGGGCTCATTGCCACATTTGTAGCATGGGGCGTAGCATATAAAAAAAACATATGGCAGTAAGTTAAAATTCTTTTATTTGTTCTGCATTTAATTGTTTCTTGCATATAAATTGGTTTTTATTTTGGGATATACTTGAAAAGGCATGATAATTCCATATCGCCCTCAGATATTCCAATGTTGGCTAGTTTTGCGGGATGTACACTTATGAGAGAATGTTCATTGGCCGCTTTCGAGAAATTTGGACGTTCTGTCCAAACATCAAATATGATCCCGGAAATTGGACCATCCTTTCAACGGTTGTTTGAAAAGTAAATAATTTATTATCTGGATTAAGTAAGTCTTGTATTTTTTCACCTTTGTTGCTAATTATTTTTAATGTCCGAATTTTTATTATGGCTTCAATAAAAGTAATTTAAGTAAATTGTAAGAATATATCTTATTATATATTAGAGGATAATTGGTATATGTTGTTCTTTTGCATTTAATATGATACCTTTAGCACACTCCAACATCATCTTATCTCTTGATAA